AGATCAGTATGGTTTGATTATGTCTGTCCGACCGTTCGGCCGACCGGCTCTACTATGACAACCGCCAAGACTACATCACCGCCTGTTTCTGCTAAAAACATCGCGCTGATGTTTTCGAGTATTGATTCCGGGAACGTCAACTACTGAGATCATTAGTCTCGTAAATGTGGTGCTCTTTATATCCCGGGAAGTGGCGATATTATTCTGCTGTCGGATTTTCTGATCCGGCTCCGGGGTGATTGTCGGTTTCAGAGGGATTTCCCCTTCCAGATATCTCCCTCATTGAGGTAACGCTCCAGCCGGGACCAGCTCCCGATTGGTCTCCTGCCTTGTGTAGTTCGTGTAAGTGTGCGTGCGTGCGTGCGTGCACGCGCATGAAAAGAGAGGCGAGAAAAAGGATAAGAAAGAAGAGAACGCGAGCGGTTAGTGGCCCGCTTATTAAGGTACTGCTCCTGCATTCTGCTGATATTGAACGGATAAAATACGGAAAACCACCGATCAGAGCAACCGACAGCTAGAGTTCTCTTCCTTCCTCAGAGCGAATTAATTCGAATTAGCTTCTCGAATATCCGCCGCCATTGGTTCTTGAACCCCAGGGACTCTTATTAACAGATGTTCAGAAGCCCAGCATCTGAACTGCCGTAGCTGGTGTATTTCGTCGTCAATAACGGTATCCGGCACTGTTAATTTTACTGTACAAGTTGTAATTCTTAACTGTTGTTGTTTCCACTCTCTATTATCTGAGAAGAAAACCATGTTTGCAGATTTTCTCCAAAACAATTTGTGCAATTCTAATGAAATTAATTCTAATGAATTTGATTTTTAGATACATATTTCAATATTTTGATTCTTAGATACTCACAGAATATAGAATTCATAGACACTCTTAGAATATATATTTTTGAGGTCGCAATCGTAATATGGAAATATATATTTTCCGACGTGGACTTTTCGTTTATCTTGCATTATTGAACGTTAGTGTCGCACCCTATTTTAAAATTAATAAAATTACGAACATGCGATCGTACAGTTCTAATGCGTTCCCTATTGAATACATTAATGAGATATTCGAAATATTTAGGAGTGATTCCGGGATCATAAGATTGAAATTCAGAGCTGCAATCGAAGATTGAAAGGGAATAAGGTATGTAGTTATTAGTATGGCAATGTTCTACAAAATAATGTATATCTTCGTATACAGTCATGTATAGCATTGCAATTCTGTTTATTTTTTCCTGCAGAAGGTACTTATTATAACAGCAATAGCAGATAATCAATTGTAAATGCCTATCTAAAGTGACGGTAACGAGCCTAGTTGAGTTACGTTAATTCATTCGTTCCTTTTAATTTTTTAGTTGTAGAATTCCGGGCCATTTCATCTCCTCCCTCTTACCTATTAGGCTCTCAACTGTCGCTTTCCTGAAGAATGACGTCTTCCAGATACTGCAGTGTGCTCGCAGAACTTCTGTCCCACTAATCAGCGCATTTTACGTCGGGAAATATTACCTCTGATTAGATTTCGCCCTCGACAAACGCAATTCCGTCTCGCTTTTCACTGCCACCAGGTAACAAGGTCCATTCTTTTTCTGCCTGGCACTACGCCTTCCCTCCGAAAGCCCTTCATCCGTTTCTTTTTATTTTTCTTTCGAGAGCGTTTTTTGCTCGTTTTCTTTCTTCCTCGTTATCTTATGTTTTCTTAACATTAACTTCTTAATGGCTTCCCTCGACGTCCGGACGCTTTTCCATTAGATTTCCTTCCCACGCCAGTTTGCAGTAATTTAAGGTGTTTCCTTCGCCCTTTTTTTTATCCATCATGACCACTCCCTTATTGTGTAATGGGAAGAAAGTCTGAAGAACAAAATTAACAGCAGTATAGTATGTATTTAGATATACTTCCATCGATTTCAGCTGTTATTTTAGTACTTTTATTTTTATTCATATTTTTTGTCATTCGTTTACGGCCATTTAGAAAGTGCCAAAGAAAACTTCTGAAAAAGGAGTAAACATATTAACGTTTTGCATCGAATAACAAATAAATTAATTTTGTTTCATTGCCAGTCGCGGATTTTTTTTCTTACTATGTACTTACGTAGTCAAGTGAAATTATTGTAGTGCTGCAGCAAACGATTGTCGATTATACGACAAAAAATTGAATTGTGTGGTTCAGTAACGAACGATAAATCGTGTTCTCAAATGTAGTAAATTACTTCTTCTAACACGTACTGCAGTCAGAATCCACATTTTAGTGGTTCTTGATACATAAAAATTGTTGGCTAAAGGTTCGTCTGTCTGACCCACGAAATGTGAATATTGAATACACAAATTTTAAAGGAAGTAATTGACTACATGTAGGAAAACGGATTATTCACCATTTCGATATCAGCTATCTACAATACAGATTTTTCTGCCGTTTTTCGCTGCAGCATTACAAAATTTTTCTGTAATACGCATGTAGTATGAAGTAAAAATATAAGAAATCTTCGCATAATTTTTCGTAAAATTTAAATAATGTTTAAACAAATATGTTAGCTGCATTTTTTTAATTTTTTCTCTCTTATATAGTACAGAACTCTTTTAAAATTAGCACATGTCACATTTTAAGTAAACTCTCTTACGTTTGGAAAATTGTATAAGTTAGAAATAACGCGAGAAATATGTGCTTTTGTAGCACCTCTAGTAATTAATGCATTTTTTGAATTGTTATAGTTTTAAAATGTTTGTTAGTAAGTATGGAATGTGAATAACAATATAAAAATGTTCATTGTTAAAAAGAAAAATTCACAGATTTTGTCACGTACACAAAATGACAAGCACAGTAACGAAAAAAAAGTGCCAAGTGATAATGCAGGAGTAGAATGTTCCGAATATTTCATTTTTTAAATATTTGAATCATAATCCCAGCAATGAAAAACCGTAAGTTCTGAAAGAATTTTTCCCTTCGTGTCCCTACAATTCTCCATACAGTAGATGGCAAATGCAAAGAGCTACTCTGATTAGCTGCCCAGGAAAGATGAAGGAAAAAGGCGTAGCCTAACACCTCGCAGGGTATTTCGAGAGGATAAGCCCAGGGTGTATTTTATCCGTTTACTTTTCATGATCATCGGGCTCACACCCCATCTCAGCGTAGTACGTTCAGAAATCCAAAGGTCTGTAATGTGTTGTGCAGAACCGGGCCGAAGCATGAAGGAAAAGTGTGCTATAAGGATTTTTTTCATTAGCTTCTTTAATTGTTTTATTTTTGATTAAATGAATATCATTTGGATAAATGAACTGCATAAATGCATACAGTTCAACAATAAAAATGTTACTTTAAAGTCACAAATTAACGGATGAGGTTCTGAAAAATGTCGCCAAATTTCTATCCGAATACTACAATCACGCGCTTTAGCTCTTACCCTTGCCCGTTTTTGCCTAGACCACTAGAAAATGGTCGCGGCGTATTTACAGCCGGGAACATGGTATTGCATTCTTAAAACAGGATCTAAGTTATAAACAAAAATAAACTTTGTATTCTAGTTTAAAACAAGAATTTCCTTTACAATTTTTTTCAGTATTTGGAAACAAATTAATGTCAAATCATCACCATGTGACACGCTTAAAACATAATTATTAGGTCTTCTTCTCCAAAGGTTATATTTTCTCCCCGCCTTTCTCTTCATTTATTCGTAGTATAAGAATCCTGGGTCGTTCTTCGATCTTCACATAAATTCCCTTACTTGCATTGCACTGCGTTATTTCATATGTCGGGTTTATGGAGCTTGTCTCGGGTGGGATGGCGGCAGCGACACACTGGTTTGCAGGTCGGGGGAACGTAAGCCGACGGGTAGGTTCACTTCGGAACTCACCGCCGAGCAGGATGTAATAAGACTGAACACTCACGAGACTGATGACCACCTCACTCAGTTGACGCCCCCGGAATCAATATTCACTCGTACTTTATTACCCCTTCTTTTCTTTGCCTGCATTTCCTTGTGACCACACTGGCTTACTCAGGGCATCAATAGATGTCACTGCAGTTCCTCTGACCGGGTTGTCCTACGCTTCGATCCCGGTAGTGGCAGAGCATTGGCTATGCAGGTAGGTCGAGTTAAGCCGCTTTCTGGGGGAGAATCCTAGCGGACGACTGCTACGAGCGCTAGTTTTCCGTTTCTGCGATCAACATCAAGCGAATGCCGAAGTAGTACCGTAACAAATGGGCCCCGGACAGCACGCGATCTTTCCTCTTCCTTGTCCTCGCTTCCCCCTTACTTACACTCACTCGTACATGCACTGTACTACCACACATGTCAGGAGATCAGTCGGAAGCTTAGATCTGATCCCGTTTAGGGGCGGTGCCAATGCGGCAGATGGTAGAGGACTGTAGCATCTTTTCGGATAGAATCTTGCCGACAGTTTTCAAGAATCTCATCCGTTAATTTGTGACTTATAAGTGATTTTTTACTGTTTACTTTTAATTCAGTTCATTTACTCAAATAATATTCCTTTAATAAAAAAGAAAACAGTTAATGAAACGGGGTTGGGGAAACACCCGCAATCCGATGCGAAGATTGACTCTGGGTTTCGTCATTTCATCGAACGTGGAAGATCATTGCCACTTCTCGCGATGAAAACATGCACTACATTTACGGAACTAACAGTCAGTGGTTTACGCGCCCGGGAAGAGGAAATAATTAAACTTCCTAGCGAGATAGGCTACGTCTCGGGATTTACATTTAGATTTATGTAGTCAATAAATAAATAAATAAAAATAAAAAACAATAATAACTGTATGTGACGTATGGGAGAGATTATCTGCTCACATTTTCTTGAGTTCCAGAATCCCTTCCCGTCATTTGAACTATAAATAGTTGGAAGTTCAGGATTTACGGGACTAATTGCCTAAGGAGTCGACGCGTCCGGAACCAGTACAGAGTTGTATTTTATTTCTCCTTGTTTGCCTTGCGTGCATTTGCGCGTGTCCACGGTCGTGCTCACTTTGCCTTCTACGCTGTGCTTCCCAGGAGCCGGAGGCGAGCGCGTCGCCCGGCACCGGTCCGGCGTCGCCGGCGTCGCCGACGGGCGGCGGGGGCGGAGCGTCGGGGGCGTCGGCGTCGCCGTCGCCGCGCGCCTCGCCGCGCGTGTCGCCCCGGGCGTCGCCGCGCTGCGGCCGCCGCCGCCCGCCGCCGCTGCGCGAGAGCCGGCGCGTGTCCGTCGACCGCTCGGGCACCTACGTGCAGCTCAACCAGTACCGCCTCGAGAAGGACCTCGGACAGGTGAGTGCCTGCGCACGGACACGCCCCCTTCCGGTTGTGCGTGGTTGGACTGGAAGTATAAATCTAAGTGCCACACCCACTTACGCGGTGTATTTAACCTTCGGAGGGTCAGAGTACCGAAGATACAAACGCACTTCTTTGTTCGTTCAAGTCATTTTGAATGCAACGGAACCTTTCTGATATTTCACACTATATTAAAGTGATTTACATCGCTATTGTCAGTGATTTCTATAAATAATCGCAAAACTTCGAAGTGTCAAACCCACTCACACGGTACATTTAGCGTTTAACGTTCGAAGGGGCAGAGCACCGAAGGATTACACTTCCACATTTACTGAAGTCTTTTGAAATTGCAAGGAAACGTTTTTGATATTTCCAACGTTTTCAGGGATATATACCTTCCTACATTTAGTGGTTTCTGTAAATAATATAAAGCATTGTAATTTCAGCACTGTCAAAGTTCCCCGTTTCCAGTCTTAAGTTATTCAAGCCATTAGCCCAATAACGAACGAGGATGAAGTTATTAAACTAAAGCTATAGCCGTGGTTTATAACCAAGTTTGTTATTTGTGAAATCGGCCTTGCGTTTCGTTCAGATCATTTTGTGATACAATATTATTACAAGAAATTCATATAAATTAGGAATGCCTTTTCTTTTACTAAGAGAAGTGATAATCACATCATTTGGTAAGTCTTATTTTTTTGGATCACGAAAGATACTGTTATGACGCCGGCCGTCAATTTAAGATGTTCGTTCCTATGTTTTGTTGTGTTATGTCCAATAACAGTACTATATTACGAAAAAGTAATTCAAAGTATGTATCTGGCAAGTACCAAAATTATTTTCACAGTTTTCGTTATTTTTTGTTGATTTCTATGAGAAATCACTTTGTACGTGGCTCTCACATGATATTCATGTTTTTTTTCTTAACGTCTATTCAGTGTGATACATTCCTAGTATTCCTTTTTTTATCGACGACTTAAAGAACTTTTCCAAGCAAAATACTCTTATAACCACTGACGTGATATCACGCTATGTGTACACCATCATCAGCAAGTCTACCTGAGATGTTTCAGCTTTCTCATAGCTTTTCATGAAAACCACTGTTGAAATGAGAGACACTGCATTACACAGATTTGAACACTATAAGGGTACAAGAAAGCTTAGATCGCGTCTTTCAGTTATCTGTAAATTCTCTAAAGCCTTCACCTGGCTGTTACTCTGCGTGACCTCCTTAACATTTATGCCTCCTAACGTACAGGGATAACGTTTTGTGCCCCAAGAAATGACTGGAGTACATTCAGTAAATTACATGTCACGCCCTAGTTTTTTTAACGCTCGACAAAATACAAAAATGGACACTTCTCAGTTTGTACAAACATTTTGTGTTGACATCTATGCCCATATTGTAGTTCATTTAACACTTTTGTACCGCATTTGGATTTCCGTGTGTGCGTGTGTTTTATTTCTAATATCTTTATTTTGGAGTTGTAAATTGTGGATTATCATTACGTTCCCCGATTTCTTCAATGCCATCAGGAATTCATTTCTTGAAGCAAATCAGCAAAGCAAATGAAAAGGTACGAAGGATTATAGGTGATAGGGCAGCTGGAGTTGGGTTGAAATGAAATACGAAATGAAAATAATGGAATGGCATGGGTAATATACAGGTACCTACGTTTTATGTAGTCATAAAGTTGTGTATTTTTTTATCAAGTCACGTAGATCTAGATACATTTTTTAATTCTTGAGAGAAACTACATCAATCCTATTCTGGTGTCGTGTTACAGTAGAATACAGTAGAATAAGACACACTTGTGATCATAGTACGAGAAAAATCTCACTTTAATAAAATTTGGAAGGAAAGCTGGGTTTTATTAGTGAATTTTTCATTAATAAGATTCACGTTTTCATTGAAAACAGTTAATTCACCTCTGCATTTACCGTTTGTAAAACGTAGTTTCCCTGCCCGCACATTAACCAAGAGTAATCGTTCTGTCGTCAAACAACTTCATTGTGTCTAGTGAAGCCATTAAGTTTCATTGCCAGAACCTCGTTCCTTGCATGTTTTACAACTTTTCAGGTTAGGTCTCGCCACCTCCATCAAGTGATGAAAGAGTGAGATGCATAAAACTCCAGTACTTTTCCAGCGAAGTACTCTCGTATCTCTCTTTGCGCAAAATAATAGTATTGATGACATTATTACGTCTCTTTGTGTAAGAGGTAGTAAGGAAAACTTCTTGGCGAATAAATGAGAGATCATTTTCAATATGCTTGTACCTAGAGGTCAGGGAATAAGTTCGAAAGGTTAGATCATTAGATCGGCGCTGTAAATTTCATTGCCGTGGCAATAACTTGCTTCACATGCAATTCAAGCATTAGTGATACAAATCCAAACGTTTCAAGCAAATTTTAGTCCTTATTGTAGTCGTTATTGAATACCTTAATTTCAAATAATTTACAGAATAAGGTATATTTACAGAATAAGCTTTAAGGTGTATTTAAAAAATGTACGAATTTTAGGTTTATTCAATTTTTAATTAATATGGAAACTATTAATTACCTCAATTAAATTACATTCAATTGCACATTCAAATTCATGAGCATTACAAGTACGTTATTGAAAACAGGCCAACTACTTATTTCCTAGTTCAAATTGCCCCTAGCGTTCTTTCTTATTACCTGTAATACCAGAGCGTATAACGGGTTGCATATTCTACAGAAGTGCTGGATCGTATAACGAATTGAATAATAAAATTGACAATTGTTTCCCCTATAATGTTCAAAGTAATTCTCATCTAAAATTAATACATTAATGCGTGTAAATCACGCGGATCTGCATAGTTTGGTTCTAGACCTTTTTATCATTTATGCGAGAATGTCTTTGGCCTAATGGTAAAACAGACGAGGCAATAACTAGGATAAAATTAACGTGGTTTCTGTCGGATCATCTTGTGTGTGCCTCGAAGCGAATATTGGGTAAAATAATGAAAAATTGGATGAAGGGTTTATCTTTTATCAAATTCACTCTAATGATCTGTCTTCAACGACATACATATTTCTGCAACAAATTAATAGCTTCATGTCCCTCTTTCCTGATAAATTCGTTGACACAGATTGGACACTTCGGATATGCTGTTGGCATCGTTTGGTGTTGTCAGATCCCGTCACTACTATCTGGTTCATTAACTTTTTGCGAAATATTGTCGAAAATATATCCAGTCCTTAAACAAAGAAATCTATTTACCATGTTACAATGTGATTACATTTTTACTGTAATCCGAAATGCAAGATATGTGATGTTTTCTGAATATATTAAGCTGTGTGAAAGTTGCTTATCTGCGGTTATTTTTACGTTGTCTCTCGGGGGATTTGAAGACAATAAAAATACAGTGTTTGTGTCATAAATTAATATTGGTTCAATTTTTATCAATTTTCAACATTTTGCAGGCATTTTATATCTTCCAAACTGAATATGTAACACCACCCAATATTTAAAAAACTAATATGTCTCAAATATCAGTAACCCGGGATGAAGACATATGAAACCTAGAAACTAATTCATTGGGATCTTTTGGTTCAAAACCTAGAAGTTATGCTAATGGAAGATTTGTACTTCCATCTTCTGAATTTGTATCCTGGCATATTTATTCAATAACTAATTACAGGTTGATCCAACAGAAGCGACGTATTTCAAGATACTGGCAATTTAATTTTGTTCTTATCACCATCACGTACACGCGATCTCCTAAGAGAGATCACTTGAGAAACCCTTTTTTCTGTTTTGAAATGTTCCCAAGCCTCTACAGCAATACTGGATTTACTTGGAGCCACCGTCGTTGAAATTTAAAAATTGCCGTCAATTTCAAGAACGGTCACGTTTGTTGGGTCACACTCTAGCTGCCGGATCCTTCATCACTCTTGACGCTCGCTACTGCATCAGTGCTGATCATGGTTTCTTGTTCCAGGGCTCCTTTGGTGTGGTGAAACTGGCCTACAATCAAGAGGACGACACGCACTACGTGAGTAGCTCTCAGACCTGCAGCCTTTGATCTGCCGCGTTTGTGTTGCGATTGTGTGCCTCCTGTAGCCTTTGTGACCTGCTTCTCGATGTTCTCATCAGTTTTACAAACGCTTCGTCATGGAAAGGTGTCATTTTCGCACTGAGGTACCGAATGAAGAGAAAATTCGTCGTAGGTAAAAGCTGACGTATATTAAAATGAACCAATGATATTTTTCTGTCTCGTCAGATGATTCAGTTCTGTCTTGTTACTATTGTTGGGTGATATTGTTCTCGCTATTACGGCTAGAAAATCGAAGATACCATCACAGACCATTTTGTATATCACCACAGTAAAATTCCTAAATTTGTTGTGTTTTGTTGTTATCTAATACATTTAACACAAACCTTCATCCCTTTACTATGTGCCGAGTTCTAGCTCCGTAATGCGATTAACACAACTGTCCAGATCTGTTCCAGAGGCACATCCGAATTGTCTAATGTAAATTGAAAGCTGTGTTGAATCACTTTAAAATTGGCAGCTTATTTCGCTACTAATTTGTGCTGTGCAATGTCAAAACGGATTTTCACGTCAGTGTACATTACCCGCATGGGACTAAGTTAATCTACTATCGTCAATAAGCTTTTCTCTTTGTATGAATTTGCCTTTGACTCTTCAGTCACGAACAATTACTTCAAACTGACGAATTACCAGGCATTACATTTTAACAGACGGTACGTTGATTCGTTTTCAATTAATTTTTTTTATATTTTTCATTTCACGTTCAATGATAAACTTTATAAAATCAACCATGAGAGAAATATGGTGAAAGGGAAGGATTATTATATTAGAATTTTTAACCTGAAATCTAATAACTGTATTCTTTGCATTTTCTTGAAATTTGTAGCACAAGTATTCTACGTATATTCTAAAATTCTATAATTAGATTTCAGAAACGGATTGTTCTGATCTTGCAGTACATGTGACCCAGCTATGAATGTTAGCATTGAAATGAAATCTGGATGAAGCATGATTACAAATGGTAATTATTTATTAAGTACATGCGACTGGATAATCTACATTTTACATCCGCTGTCTCTTTTAAAATCGCTCGATATTTTTTCCACACATTCCGCACAATATTTGTTTCCTACCTCGTTGCAAGTACACCGTGCACAGTTCGTGGAACTTTTATTACTATATTTCTTGTATATTGTTTTCGTCTTGCGGATTATGGCCTGTCTTCATGCACAAAAATCTTTTTATATTTTGCAAATATTATTCGAAGGGGTGTTGTCAAATATAAATGTTAATGTCCTGATGGAAAACTAAAATGTAAGAAAAAGTAGGTTTTGAAATGCTTGTAATGTTTACATCTCGAGACAGATTCTGAGAAATGATATTTCTCACTGGTATATTTTCAGAAAAACATCGAATACGTTTCTTATATCCATGTTATTGTAAGTAGATCATGAACCACATTGAATCTACGAGGTGCATCAAAAAAGTATGTTCCGATGACAAAGAAAACAAAAACATCATTAAGAAATTTTTATTGGAATATTTACGTATATTCACTGGATACTTCTCAACATAGTCAACGTAGCCACTCTTGAGTCATTTATCGTAACGATGCACTATCAATTGTGTGCTCAAGACATAGCAGTCCGTCCGGAGCCACGAAGTCGGCGCCTCACCGTCGTGTGGCGTTAGACGTTATTCTGCCAGAAAGCTCTTCATGCATGAGACGGAAGAGATGAAAGTCGCTTGGCGCGAGGTTAGGTCCGTAGGGCGGATGGTCGTATACATCGCACTGGATCTGATTGAACACATTTCGTTTGAAGTTGGATTGTCATGCAAAAGCGTAATCTCTCTTGACGGTATCGTGTGTCGTGTCCAGGTCCACGTGCCTCAATTGGCGATGGATTTCTACTGGAAATTGCTTATGAGCTTTCTAAAATCGGATGACTGCATGAACCTCGTAGTTGGCGGGAGACAATATCAAAGAAGCCATTTTTATCAAAGCATTGTGCGGTAACCACTACCGTTACAACTAAAACTACACTGCTCTATTCCCACATACCTCCTCTCTACTCTTAGTCATGAGATTTCTGAACGTGATCGAAACTTACTTTCTGGATGCAGCGCGTATCATATATCATAATCATGATCTCCACCTTCAATACAAACGTGTTTATTTTTTTATTTTTTATTTTTTTTTGCCGAGATTTTTCCTTTTGATGATTGAATTTTATAGTCTCCGTTTTGAAGTTAGAAAAAGATCTTCGGAAATGTCGAAGAATAAAACAGATTTTAATAAGTGAGGGACGGAGCAAAAATATATTTTTGTAACTTGTAAATGTTAAATTTACAAGTTAGAAAATTGCTTTTTTACTCCCGCCTTCAAGTATTAAAATCGACGATGTTCGACCTTGTTCTTCTAAAAGGGAATCTTCCACCGCTACGATCCAGGTTTGAGGTTCTGCCAATCCATATGTAATTTGTGGAGATCTGTGTGTCTAATCACGGTCTATAAATATTTTCTCGATATTACTTCGTTTGCACCGTGTCTTATTCCACCTTGTTTTGTTATCTGCGATATTATATACTTTTATTTATTTAAGTTAATATCGTCGTCATTCGACAGTTTTTGCGATTCGAAGTGCATCGCGGAAAGGTCGTCAGATTGTGCGCGACCGTAACAATATCATTTAGCAACGTGCACTTCTAAACATTTGGTTTATTTCTATAATTTCCGATGCGTTGAAACGATTGACTTTACACCGCAAGCGAAAAATATGAAAACAGACATGTCTGAGTCAATAGATAATAAATATGCAGAAAGAGAGAGAACTGGCCCGACGGTAAAAATTGTAGAAAGAATTGTTGAAAGAATAGACGAAAGGAGGCTGTAGCTGCTACTTGTTTAAATTAATAAACGATAATTGCAGGTTTCACTTCATCTTGCTGTGATGACAGAGGACTGTATTATTATATACAATATATATATATATATATATATATATATATATATATATACAAATAAACAAATAGAACCATAATCAATAAGTAAATTATTATTTAAGTGATAAACATAAGTGGAATTATTTATATATAAACAATCACTAACAATGATGTAAGCTTTGAGTACACTCCATTGGCGTAACCAGCGCTTAGTCTGACAAAAGTAATCGTACGTTTCAAATAATGTAATAATAATTCAAAATTGAAAAAAGTATGTACCGTTCACAAGGCAAAAACGGGCGTATGAAGATTTGTATAAACGATCACAGTTCACCAAACAAGAATAAATCCTCTATAACCAGTTATATTAGCTAAATAACTAGTTTAATATTAATGAAATAACCAGTTTAATATTAATGAAATGTTACAATGCGTAACCTTTTTAATTAATTGACCTCTTTAAATTGTATAAAATAAAGTGCTGCGGCACTAAGTCTGATAAATATATCTTAAATGATCACAGTTCTTCATAAAGTTCACTTAAGTGCATGATTGTCTTCAAATAAGTCATTTACGAAGATTTATTTCATGATTTCGTGGATCATGATGTTATTGATAATGATATAATTTATTGTAAGTAAATAATTCACAGCGATAAAATATTAGCATAATGCTTGAATGGTAATCTGTTAAATCATAATTCGATTACTCAGTTCCGTCTTAAAACAAAACATTGTGTATTAAATGCATTATCTTGTGAACTAAGGTGTTTAAGACATGTCAGTTTATACTAATGAGGCAAAATATCTATTACTCGCGCGACTTTTCCTGAATGATGACCTTGCTTCTCCCTCTCAGGCACAATAAACAGTTGAAGGCAAAAGCTCACGTCGAGCACTGATGACAAGAACATTCCAAACACATCTTCACTGGCGCGTAATAGAAACAATTTTCTTTTGAAGGTGAGAACTTCTGTTGTTTTCTCTAAAAATCTAAAGAAATGAAGATCCGACCAAACAGGTAAATATCTATCACAGGAGAAACCTCGAACTCCTGAGAAAATTAGAATGCAAATTATCGAGAACATTGTAAAGGCATGACTGATTCTCCAGAGATTGGCATTGCTTCATTAAATCTAGTGGCCCATTTCGTAAATAATACCCCCAATCTACGCGCATTTCTTCAATCCATCGCCAAGAAAAGTTGCGCGAGTAATACGCTATAATAATTGTATTAATGAATGAAAACGAAACCCTTAGCAACCAAGCAAAACAACGCGGGGTGTGGAGGCGGGCTGTGGTGGGGAGGCGTGGTCCCGGGCTTTCGGCGAAGCCGGCGGGTCCATCTGCCGCGCACGGGGGAGGCGTCGCCGCGGCAGCCAGGTGCCCGGCCGATGCTCCTTCCCCCTCCCTTCCCCTTCCCCTTCCCTTCACCCTCCCCTTCCCGCGCCGTCGACACCTAATACACAGGCCGTGTGCAGTGGAATCTCGCCTATTAGAGCGTCGGAATTCTTTTCGTATCTGGAGATGTATTCATTGCTTTCGCTTTGGTGACAATTTGAAACGTTGGTAAGTCTAAATAAACGGTGACTCATATTCTTCTCCGGTTTGGATCAGAGATATCGATATTCCTCTGTATAGCTATTCTTGTGAATATTAGTATAATCGTCAATGATATATCTGAAGTTTCATATAATATTTCGCAAAAATATATCGAAACTTCGTAAGCTATACATTTTACCTCGACTATTGGAAAGCAGAAATGAGTTAATCATTCTTAGTATTGTAATGTCATTAGTTATTCAGTTCTTTGGACTCGATAATGCTTTAACTTATTCTTTCTCATTCTGTATATCAATAATCAGTTGAATAGAATATTTATGTTTTCAAATTTTTTCCATTTCTCAGAAAAGTTAATAGTTAACCAAGTATTTGTAATCATTTAAGTAAATAGAATGTTTATAAGGATAGTAAGATCTGGACGCGAGTATTTCTTCAGTTCGTTCAAAATAATTTTCGAATTTCTTTAACTTTCATTTTATCTTTATAACCAGTATT